TGTGTGTGTGTGTGTGTGCATGTGTGTTTGTGTGCGTGTGTGTATGTATTTATAGAATTATATATGATGCATACGTTTTCATAAGGCATTGTCGTTAGTCACCAATTACATATGATATATATATACAGATGTAGATATACATATATATATATATATATATATGTGTGTGTGTGTTATCCTACGTGTATATTTAGTTATACATGTATTACATTAGAAATATATCGGTATATATATGTATATATAAGTATCTATATATCTACTATCACCTATAACTATATACATAAATCTTTATGTAGCATGTGTTTTGTATGTATTGAAGTTGTACTAGCATTCTTCAACAATTATCAATGAGATCATGTCTATCTTTTCATATTCATATCTCTTGTACTAATTTTCTCAATATTCTCCCTTGCAATTGCCAACTAAAAACCCTAAAGCAATTGCCCATAGTAGTTCGTGAGTGCTGAGCACTTGGTTGAGTTGAAATGGCAGACAAGGACCGAGGAACGGATGCCCCGTCATACAGGCGGTACATCCCGAGGGCTGCCACACGATCCCAATCGGCATATGTGCGTACTATTTAGTCTAAACCCTAAACCTAAATAATGATATGTGTGTACCATTCGGTGGTCTGAATGATATTGTGGTCTGGTTTTCACTAAAGTCTGTGCTACTTGTGTTATGAACGTTGACAAGCCATTTAGCTCTAAACCTTTTAGTTCTGAATTATACTGTATGCTGTATTGTTTACCGTTGACTTTGTTGGGTGTAGTGTTTCATATGTTACCGTTGACTTTGTTGGGTGTGGTCTTTCATATGTTACCGTTGACTTTTTTGGGTGTAGTGTTTCATATGTCACCGATGACTTCGTTGGGTGTAGTGTTTCATATGTTACCGTTGACTTGGTTTTTCATATGTTACCGTTGACTTCGTTGGGTGTTGTGTTTCATGTGTGTTGTTAGTGGTTTGTTTTTAGAATTCCAGGGTTTTGGGTTTTTAGGCTTTAACCTTAAACTTTAAAAAGGCCTAATCCTGTGTGCGCTCAATAGCAACTGATTGAGCGAGAGTGGCTGTCGTGGATGTCCAGCCGCATGAGTTAAGTGAAATCATATCTTACATCCACCTCTATGTACTCATATTCGTCGCCAGAAATGAACAGAATGTTTATAACGTTTTCAAACCCTAACACCTAAAACCCTAAACCTGACCTCCGCTGACTTTGTAGATACGACCGCCCTCTGCTACTGACACCCTCAGACGCAGTGCAACGGTAAAGGCCAGCGATGGCCATAGACCAGGCTCATCCATGGAGATTTACAGGTATGCTCGTCTCTTTGTGAACTGTTCATATCATTGCGTGGTTGATATACAGGTATGTTCATCTCTTTGTGAACTGTTCATATCATTGCGTGGTTGATATACAGGTATGTTCATCTCTTTGTGAACTGTTCATATCATTGCGTGGTTGATATACAGGTATGCTCGTCTCTTTATGAACTGTTCATACCATTGCGTCGTTGATATACAGGCATTCTCGTCTCTTTATGAACTGTTCATATCACTGCGTCATTGCACAGTCCAATATGCACATGGTGCGTTCAGTTCTAGTCGGTGTGCATACATGCCTACATGTTAATAGCTTGCACTCCGTGTACCTCGTTATAAGAACGAAGGCCCTGTGCACGCGTGTGGTGAATTTGCTGATTGCGCGTCATATACGAGGTGTAGAACTACTACACGTTAACGTACAATGCATTGCTCATACACTTACACACACTTGAATTCGTACTGACGGTGGGCCACTTTCGAGGTTCACGTGTGCCATTATCCAATCTCTAGCTATCACCATATGGATGGAAGACGTATGCATGACCCAGAAGCCAATACGTTTATTAACGCACACAAGGCGAAACAATTACAGATAGATGGATGTGTAGCAATGATTTTAAAGTTTCTAAACCCCTAAACCCTAAACCCTTAAAACCCCTATTACTTCTGTGTAGCAATCCTTATACATAAATGTGAGTACTCTCACATATATTAGCAAGAGTATTGACACATATTTTTTTCTAAACAAACGTACGCATATCGTACCATTTAGTAGCGGGACAAGAGTTTCGTCCCGTTTTAAATTTCCCTTTTCTGTTTTATCTAACAGAGCCTACGAAGCCGAACAGGCGGCTGAGAAGGCACGAGAGCGGTCTGCATCAGCAATTGGCACGCGCATCACTACCTCTGCGAACAGCAGCCAACGAGACACAGACAGTCCCCACCGAATGTATTCGCCAGACACGTACACATCATATGCTCGACCGGGCGATAGGGATCGGAGGTGAGAGAGGCTCGTCTGCCGTCTAGTTTAGGGTTTTAGGGTTAGTTGGCAAACCTCCACTGCGTATGCATATGTTTTCCTCGCACTGTGATATTCTGTGGGTGAGGCATTTAATAATGGTGTTCTTTGGATGATCCATTAGCGCGTGATACCTACCGCCTGTTGATATATCATCACATCGTAACATTTGAGTCCCACCACATACAATTGATAGTTAGGGTCGCCATGTGCATAAGTATATGCAATTACTACTGTCACGTGCGAAAGTATATACAATTACTATTGTCACGTGCATAAGTATATGCAATTACTATTATCACGTGCATAAGTATATGCAACTACTATTGTCACGTGCATAAGTATATGCAATTACTATTGTGTTCATGCGCATTTCTATGATGCAGTACTTGCCGACTTGAATATACATTTATATGATATGTTACAAATATTCAAATATTGATGTTGGTTCGAATTGATCATATCTGTACCTGTACCTACGTGTACATATGTGTCTGTGTGTATGTGTGTATACATATTCATGTATATATATTTATCTGTGTGTACGTGTATATATATGCATATGCACACATATGTGTGTATCTGTGTATGTATATGCCTCATCCACACCTCAACGTCGTTGCTTGGCTATCACTGTGTTCTAATGCCTCGTCCCCTTGACCCCACCCCCACCCAATCCATAGCGCCGATCGCTCTGACGCTCACGTACGGAGTGCGCGCAAACTCAGAGACCCATTGGACTCACTCAGAGACGAAATCGAAGGACTGCAACGCGCAAGACCAACGGTGGGCGAGCGCTACGGCCACAGACAAGCCAACTCACCCGTCACTGTGCTGAGTCTGGAGGAGAGGTATTTACAGCGACTGCCGCACGGGCCACCCGCCACACCAAGCGACGCTGCTGTGCCCAGAGACGCACAGACGTTGGAGGAGACACAGGCACAGGCGAGTGCACACGTGGACACGCTGGTACGCAGCCGATACAACAGCAACCGAGAAACGGTGGCAGCAGCCAATGGCCACACAGACGGAGACAGCCAGGGCCATACGACAGCCGACCACTACACCGACAGTCACTGGCGCAGAGGGCCAGACGATCCCTGGAAGAGCACACACACACACCCGCCCAACAGCGCACACACAAATACACTCAAGGACGAGGTCATGCTGTGGCTGGACGGGCGGCTCAAGACCATGAACATGATCAACGATGCACGCGACAGGCAGAGACAGGCACCCCATGCAGCACACGCCACACAGGCACACCCACGCACACAGCCCTATGTGGACGCACCAGACGCTGGCGCTGGGGCGTACGTAACCACTCACGCCATACGGCGATCATCCTTAGGAGCACACACGGCACACGCGGCGATGATCAAGAACACGGGCAACGGCGCAAGGGATACAGGGGGAGACACCGGTAACCATGGCAACAGCATCAGAGACCATGGCACCAGCCGACCAGAGCACGACGACGACAACAGCCCCAGCAAGCGCATGCAGCGACGGCACAGCTACCGCCGACTGGAGCCATCGCATGACGCATACACCACCACACACAACGCCATCAGCAGAGACAGAGACAGAGACAGAGACAGGGGCACGAGGACAAGCGGAAGAGCTCAGACAACTACAACTACCGGTGGTGGCAGCCATGCACATGGGCACAGCGCACGACACCACACAACAGCCAATGACACGGGCAGCCACAGCGACAACGACAGCAACAACCACACGCCACCCACCCACACCTCACCACAACCACACCACTCCCCTCACACGCACAATGCGCACCAGGGCAGCGCAGGCAGTGGCCATGGCTCAGACATAGACACACGCGGCGTCACTGTGGACCCGCAGTGGAATTCCTTCAAGCACGATTTAATGCAGGTGAGACAGCTGGGCAGCTGATGAGCAATACCTACTAAATAACTACTAACCACAAATACCTACTAGCCACAAATACCTACTAACCTCAAATACCTACTAACCACAAATACCTACTAACCACAAATATCTACTAACCTCAAATACCGACTAACCACAAATACCGACTAACCACAAATACCGACTAACCACAAATACCGACTAACCACAAATACCGACTAACCACAAATACCGACTAACCACAAATACCTACTACCCAGCGCTGGTTTATGCATATACATACCGGACCTATAGGCCAATAATTGTGTGTATGTTGTTTACGTACGCGTGTGTATGTGTGTTTGTGATAGATGTCGTCGTACATATGGTGAGTTAGCATTTGTATCAGGGTGCACAGTTTAGGGTTTAAATACATACCAGAGTGTACCGCTCATATTTATAAATTATCCTCAAGTAGCACGCCCACAAGTCCATTGCATAGTCTAGAGGTGACTGTTACATATGTGTACATGCGCTGGTGCCATTTACGTGATCTCTGGCGTAGCTCGTCACGTATTGTCGTGGGTTTCCGTCTAAGTACTGCCACTGCAGTGTGTTGAGCATTGCTTTTCATATTTTTTAGGGTTAGGCCGTTTCTTAACAGATTACTGACAGCCGTGTGTCCGACAGGAGGTGCAATCGGTGTGAACTGTGTTGTCTTAATTAACAGATTGTCTGAAAATCAGTCGGAGATGGCGCTGGATGATCGCGTATTGCTGTATGATTGTAGTGTCTAGTATTCCTTGATGTACCCTCTGTTAGTGAGTGCATAGGAATGGTAAATGATTGTATTGTTGTGTGATTGCAGTGTCTAGTATTCCGTGGTGTACCCTCTGTTAGTGAGTGCATATGAGTGGTGAATGATTGTATTGTTGTATGATTGTAGTGTCTAGTATTCCTTGATGTACCCTCTGTTAGTGAGTGCATATGAATGGTGAATGATTGTATCGTGTCCACTTCTGTCGCTTTTAGATCTGTATTGTGTGAATTTTTTCATAACCACTCATGTCCTGTTTGGATTTCAGGGCCGTCAAGGCCAGCCCGCTGTGGACAGGCAGAGGCAACCATTGCACATAGCTCACACGCATGACGCAGATGTCAACACGGCAGAGCGAAGAATACGCGACAGGGAGCGCGATGGCCGAGCAAGGATAGACGCCGACTCATCCCGCTTTGTATTGCGGGACACAAAACGGGACGAGAGAATTACCAGGCAGAAACAACAGGGGATTGCTGAGAGCATGTACAAAGCACGGGCAAATGGCATGGACACAGTACCAGGTAATGGGTCATCCGCATTTGATATTGACGAGGACTACTACGCCGTTGCAGCCGATGATGTGGCCACGCGCACGCACACAAGCCCATACCACGAAGGGCGCAGAAGTGGTACACATGCACAACCAGACAGACCCGGTCGAAGGGACAGGGACAAGGACAGGGACAGGGACAGAGACAAAGATAGGGGCAGAGACAGAGATAGAGATAGAGATAGAGGCGTGGAGACAGGCACTGATCTTGATGCACGCGACAGGCAGAGGAGACGCGACCGATCACGACAACGACTGCCGCAACACCACACGCGCACCACCACCACGGGGCAGCCAATGGTCATCGATCCACACACACACCAACCAGCCACGCTGCCACGCACATTCAGTCGCCAGAACAGTGTCATCAGCACAACAGGCAGCGACAACGACGACGACGACGAAAACAGCACCAACAGCGACAAAAATAGCAACAACGACGCCAGCGAGGGCAATGGAGACAATCACAAGCGCAACAGACACACACACGGCTATGCTGACAGGAGGGAGCACCCGCACACACCCAGCAATCACGGGCACACGTCCACGCTCACGGATGCACTCGCGCACATGGATGATACTTTGGCTGGGCATAGGCCGCGGAGGGACGCAGTGACACGCAGCGAAAAGGCGGTGCACGATGCCACGCGATCACAATCACGGTCGCACTCGCGCACAAGCTCGCGTTCACGGTCACGCTCAACCTCGCGCACAAGCTCACGCAGCGGCGCCCATACGCCATCGCGCTCTCCTGCGCGCGATAGAAACAGCGACGCTGAAGACGCGCGACCAACCCAAAGCTGGAAGGCCAGGGAGCAGAAGGTCAGAGACCAGCGCGTGCGTGAACAGGTGCGGGCCGAGAGTGCGGCGTCGGGGATTGTGGGGGTCATCAATGTGGGCGATCGCGTCAGTATCCCGTCCAAGGAAGATGGCAAGGGCATCGTCAGGTGAGTGGATGGGCGTGCATGGCGTATGCCGCACGTGTGTGTGTTTGCATATGATTGTGTGTGAATATGAATACGTACGTATTGAGATATGCGTTTTATCTGAATGTTTACCTATCTTGAGAGCTAGTTAGTCACGTCGATATGCATCTTGGCCTGTATGTATGCACTCACCCCTACACGATTGCATTATTAAAAAGGTAACCTAAACTACGTCAATGCAACGAGAACATACAGCCACGCATTGCAATCATGCACTATCACGCAAAGCCCTGGACAGTCGAGCTTCTCAGATTTATATGTCATCTGCCTAGCATTGCAATCATGCATTATCACGCAAAGCCCTGGACAGTCGAGCTTCTCACATTTATATGTCATCTGCCCAAAGCCAGTCTCGCGTCACAAACGCATGGTTTTCCACATCCCATTCCTCACTCGCTATCTCCCCAATAGAATCGAACCCCGATAGGCATGATGCTCACGTATGGTGATATCGTATATATATCTGTGAGTATGCATGATGTTCATATATATATATGATGTTCGCATATACATATGCTGATCTCGTAGATATATCTGAGAATATGCATGATGTTCATATATACGTATGATGTTCATATATACATATGCTGATCTCGTAGATATATCTTTGAGTATGCATGATGTTCATATATACATATGCTGATCTCGTAGATATATCTGTGAGTATGCATGATGTTCATATATACATATGCTGATCTCGTAGATATATCTGCGAGTATGCATGATGTTCATATATACGTATGATGTTCATATATACATATGCTGATCTCGTAGATATATCTGTGAGTATGCACGATGTTTATATATACGTATGATCTTCATATATACATATGCTGATCTCGTAGATATATCTGTGAGTATGCATGATGTTCATATATACATATGCTGATCTCGTAGACATATCTGTGAGTATGCATGATGTTCATATATACGTATGATGTTCATATATACATATGCTGATCTCGTAGATATATCTGTGAGTATGCATGATGTTTATATATACGTATGATGTTCATATATACATATGCTGATCTCGTGGATATATCTACCAGTATGCATGATGTTCATTTATACGTATGATGTTCATGTATACGTATGATGTTCATATATACGTTGTATACGTCTGCTAATCTCATAGATGTATCTACCAGTATGCATCATGTTCATATATACGTATGGTGGTCTTGTAGATATATCTACCAGGATGTATGATGTTCATATATACATAAGCTGATCTCGTCAATATATCTACCAGTATGCATGATATTCTTGCAAGTGATCGCGAGATCACATCGAGTGCCGTGGCTCTGCTTATGTTTGCATTACATTGCTAATTGGCAATACCACTCAAGGTTATTCTGCTTGAAAATGTAGCATGTGTGTGCTGCAAACAATGGCATATTTTGTCGTTGTATGCTCGGTTGCGAGAATGTCGGTAGATAAGTGTGTATTTGTGTGTATCCAACACAATGCAGGTATTGACGGGTTGCATTACGGCATACAATAGGTTGTATTTGTGTGAAGTATATCTACTTGCTATTAGCTTATATGTACGTATCTAGTGTCTAGTTATTGATATACTTCATGTACAAAAATTGGTGATACATAGGATTATAGCCTTCATTTACGAACGGGGGGTCTTTGTTGAATTGTTTTAATGTACATAGCTTCACTGTGTCAGTCTAATTTTGCAACGCCATCGTAACGATGGCTTCTGGCGTGGGACATGACTGGCGTAGCACTCACTGGCAGCTACATGTCTCTCCCTCAACTGCATGCCCATCCCTGCATTCCTTACAGGTATATTGGCTTCACCAAGTTCGCCCAGGGCACCTGGTATGGCGTTGAGCTGGACACAGATGGCAAGTGTTTTCGAGGTCAATGAAACGGGGGTTTATTTTATAGAATCAAATTTGTTGAGTCGTGTGTTTACATTATACATATATGCATACGCTGGTTTTGATTTTCCATCGCTTGTAATATGAATCGCTGGAAACGGACCATGAAGTGGTAATCAATTCACCTGCATGTACGAACGATATTTTCTGGACTATCCCATGTGTGCAATAGCGAATATATTTAAAATATAACCTAGTGCATATTCATATGCCAGCAAAATTTTAGAGATTGTTCGTATATTTGACAAGTTCCTTAAGCTTAGATATTTGTTTACATGAGGTTTTGTACGAGAATCTCTATCAGTATTACGTAGAGAAAATCATTTTTGGACCACGAGAACTTTATTTTAAACTTTCCATAAGTTTTGAATTATATTGGAAACTAATCGTATTTGGATCGTCCATTGTATCACATATATGCGGACGTGTGTGTGTGCAAGTGTTAGTTTGTGCCAGGACTTTCATAGTAATATACGGATGTCCTGGTTGATTTATACATATAGTTGATGGACAGGAATTATGCATCTGTGCTGCGTGTAGGCGAGTGCATACATTATGTGCCTGTGCATATGTTCATTCTAAATGCCTCATCATAAATTCTCAAATGGTCTGCAGTGGTAGTGCATTATTTCTCACAGCCACAAACACCACGTCTTCAAGATGTATTGGTACATATAAAATTGCTCAGGTATTACACATACGGAACATGCGAACATGTATCTGCACGGAAACGTATTTTACAAAGACTTTTAACATACAGGATTGGAGACTTTTGTGTATTTGTGCTTCTGTGCTAAACGTGTAAATGCGCAAAGACACGCTCATCGCTACCCCACATAAACATCACACTTGACACGTAAACACACCTACACGTGAACATTCCACTTACACGTAAACATTACACCTACACGCAAACATTTCACTTACAGCGGGTATGAATAATGGCTCAGTTAGTGGTGTCAAGTACTTTGAGTGTTCTCCCTTCCACGGCTGCTTTGTTCAGAGAAGTAGATTGTTCGCAGTGGATAGGTCAGCGTCTCAAAGCTGATCGTCATTCAAGTGAGAACAAGAAATATAATAACGGCCATGCACACCACTCTCGCCTATAATCCAAATCCGTGTACTGTTGGTTATCCGGCGTCAGACTGTGAATGTGCTTTTCTGTACCTGAACGCGTCAGAAACTAAAATATAGAAAATATTAGAAATAAAGTACAATATCATGAATAGTAGCCACTCACTGTCGTGTCTGTCGTGTGTTATATGCTTCGACCGTTCACTACAAAGCGGTGGAGAGATTCGCTGAAGCAATTTGCATGTGAGTCGAAACCTCATTATATACGATAAAGCGTTTTGAACGATCACTTGTTTAATTATTTTATCGTTTGTTTGTTCTATTCGTATGGAAAAAAATATGTTTAATCGAAAACTTGCGATATTGAAATAGATAGCGCGCAGAATTAATTGCAAATGGCGAATACGGGTCTCGCTGATCTCAGCAGCTACTAAAAACCCTAAAAGATAATTTGGTGGGTGCAACCTAAAGTTCAAACCGTATTGAGAAGGCGCTAGTCAGTAGGAACTACAGCAAATGTATTTTAGGGTTTTAGGGTTTAGGGTTTAGGTATCTTTATTTGTTTACACGCTATTGCTATATACAATGCCTTGATGTCCAGAATGGACTTGTGGCTACCGGCAAGGTGTTGGCAGATGCCGTGGCCCTGTTTCTCAGGGAAGGGCGGTCTGCATGATCAGGTTGTTCTGGCTGGTCGTTTGTGTTTTGGTTTGGCGATGGGTGGGGTTTTCTATTTGTTATGTCGTGTATATATCTGTACTAGGTACCTTGGCTGACTTGACACAAGAATTGGCGATATACTGACGAAAGTATGAATATCGTTGGAGCTAAATATGAGGTAAGTGTAATGGCACGAAGGCTACATTTTCCTCACTACCGCATCACCGGGCCGCTATGTGCGACTGTGCCTGCCGGTAGGCCTTCAGGGAGGATGGGGACGGGGTGGAGGACATTTCATCGCAGTGTGGGTCGTGATATATAAGCTATTCCGTTTCAAGTCAATACATAGCTGCCGTAAGGATATTCGCCAACGATTGATCAAGTCAGGTGGGGTAACACTGTTACAGATATATGCTAGTGTGATGTCTAAGGGGATGTTTTTGTTTATATCCTGGTCGATGTCGAAGAGTGGGTGTATGTGGTGATTGGGAAGTGTCCGCTTCCAGTACTGTGGGGTTACGATGTATGCACATGCTTCAGGGTGAAGCGTGTTAAAGTCAATGTTGTGTGTATCGATCCACAAGAGTCTATTTGGTTGCTCGAAGCGGCGTCTTATCTCCAATGATGGCCATGTGAAGATATTTTGTGGGTGCATACTATCAATGCCTAATGTGTGCACCAAAGTTGTGATGAGCCGTGGTACTGGAAACATATGTTCTGTTAAGGGCCTTGGCGCAACGGGGCCCTTGTGTAGGTCCTGTAGCTGGTCGTGGAGGGTAAGCATATCCGTATATCGTTTGCGTGAGTAGAGGGCATCGATAAGGTTGCTATCTACTGCGACTTCTTGTCGAGGTGTGATTAGTTTGGACACATAGGGCATCACGTTTGGACATGTGAAGTGTGAGGTAGTATATGGGGTTCTACCACAACCTATGCATGTGAGACCTGCCGGGGTCTTTTCTAGCGTGAACATATACCTTTTTGTGATGTAAAGAGCTACTATCGTCGGGACGCGAAATAAGAGGCTACTAAAGCAGTGATGTTCCAGTGGAGTGTCGAATTGATAGCGGTCTTCTTCCCCCGGATACAGCAGGCGGAAGCGAAGTTCACGTGTTGCCATTTTGTGTAGTTCTTGGTCCTTTGCCATTGGTTTGCGGTTCTTGTAGCCAGTAAATAATTCTGTTATTGCTACTTGACATTTGTTTAAGATGATTAAGCAGGCAAACACACTGCCAGGTGCACATTGCCCTGGCAGTTAGTTGCCCACAGAATTTAAGAAGTATATACATTGTCTTTGTTGGACGTTTGGGTGGAATTTGTTAGCGGCTGTGGATGTAATATACCCTGCTGCTTTGTGAATTATGGTGTCTAGTTGTTCGAGTTTTGAATCAATTTGTGTGATAAGCGATGGGTTTGCCAATGGTATGAAGGCGAGGCCGTATGTGATCTTTGATATAATAAATACATTAAAGATAGTGAGTTTGTTATGAGGGTGTAGGTGTGTACCAGCTCGAAATCCGTGTGTGCCACTGTGTTCAATTGTTTCGGATAGAGTGTTAATGCGGGCTGCTAACATCTTGAGTACATCAATACCATCGGATGACATTGGGAATCCCAAGTATTTAGCGTGGGTGTGGTGATCGAGTCGCCAAGCATCAATGATTTCTTGTGTTTCTCGTTTCTTGGTGGAACATGTATTGATTTGGTGGGATGGAATTCGACGCCGGAGCGTATTCCCATACGTGTGTTTGGTTAAGGCAACGTTGCAATTTGTTTGTATCATAGTTGTAAAGGGATAGGTCGTCGACCCACGCGAGAACCGTGAGGGTCTATCTTTTCAAGGTTTTCTAAGAGTGGGTCTATGTATATGTTGAATAATGTGGGTGCAATTGGGTCTCCTTGGGTGAGGCCCTGGGACCGTGGGAACTGTGGAGATAGGATCTGTTGGTATGTCACACGCGATGTTACATTATGTTACATGTTTGTAAATAGTGTAATGAGTGGTGTGGGCACCTTTCGGTTATGAAGGAGACCTCATAAGCGGTACAATTTGACTGAGTCGTAAGCTTTCTTTATGTCTAAGAATACTTGATGCGTATCTTTGTCTTGTGGGCTTACTTGATTGATATATTCATGTAGCGTAAGGGCATGCGTGAAGCATGAGTGTCCTGATTTGAAGCCGCCTTGTCTTTTATGCGTTTTAAAAGCTGGGTGTTGGTTCATGTATCCCAACCGTACGATTTGGAAAATACGTCTAAGTATTTGCGTGAGTGTAATTGGTCGAAACTCTTGCGGACCTGCGGGAATTTCTACTTCTGGTATAGGAACGATCATAGTACACAGCCAGGCGTGTGGTACGATGCCCGTATATAATATCTTGTTGAATAAACAGGCAAGTATTTTAAGAAATGGTGATTAAGGGTTTGGCTTTCCTTAAAGTTTGTGACCTGGAGGATATGTGTCGATAGCTGCTTTGAGTATATCTATATGTATGCCATCAGGTCCAATTCCTTTGCGACTATCGTATGCGAGTATTGCGTACATAATATTCTCTCTGGTAAAAATATCACCATCAAGAGGTATATGTTCTGTATGTGTCTGTTCTGGAATTTTGTAGAACTTTTTCTTGTTGAACAGTTGATTCAGAAAAGTACTTCTGATATTGGCAGTTGGTATCGTGGTGTTTGGTGTAGAGGGTTGTATTCTGCGTGATTTTTTCTGTTTGTTGTACAATTTAACTATTGTGATATTAGGAAG